GTTGTACGAGAACACGCAGGACTCGGCCCTCAGCTCTGTGTGAGGAGCATCTTTCACCAACCAGCTGAGTGAGAGTCGATAGGTCTCCTTCTCTCGCAGCCTCCAGAAGTTTCTCCTCCAGTTTCCTCTCTTCTGTTCTTTCGGCAGCTGGCATCCGCCACGCGACGGGGAGAAAATGTAAGATATAAGCGGCATAAATAGTTTGTATGAATGGACGATAAACAAGCCGGCGTTGAAAAAAAATAAATAAATAAAAAACTGAATGAAAGCATGTCTCCATGGCAACTCTTAGAATGACAAGATGTATCTCTCACCTTCCAGCATGCTTCTGATCTCTGCGTTTTGAGTGACATCTTTGGGAATTTGAGCCGAGCCGTTGATGACAGCAGCACATGCATCATAGTGCAGCAGCAGCATGACAACCTCCTGATCAATATGCGATGGATCAATTCGATTGGTTTGACAGGAAATGAATGAATGAACGAACGCATGCGGAAAAAAATGATAAATCTTACATTCAACAAAGTGGAGCAGAGAGTTTTTAATTTGAAAAAAATAAATAAATAAAAATCTATAGAGGTGGAATATTTTCCAAACGCACCTTTCTCCCCGTGAATGCAGCTTTGTGCAGCGCCGTGTCTCCGATGTTGTTGGGGAGGTTAACATTTGCTCCCGCCTGCAGGACATGAGCGAAAATACATGTTACCTGCGCAGTCATTACATCTTTAAAAAAAAAAAAAAGAGAGAGAGAGAGAGAAACGCCACCTTGAGGAGCTCCTCCACTACATCTCTGTGACCAAAGTAACAAGCCAAGTGAAGAGGCGTCCATCCCAAGTTAGACTTGCTTTGACCTGAAATGAAAAACAGGACATACTTGAATCGAGTTCAGCAGCACACTGTAACCGAAGCTACACCCATGTGTTAGTCACACACCTTTACAGTTGATATTAATCCGCCTCTCCGCCGCTGCGTTGGACCTGAGGAGTTCCTGAACCCCAGGCAGATCTCCGTTCCGGGCGCACTGCAGGAACTGCTCCTCTGGCTCCAGATCCTCCATGGAAGCCTGCAGGGGAAAAACAGAAAGGACGGGAGTTAGCTGCAGCTACACGATAAATAGTACTGAGTGGGAGATTTTTAAAAGACCGTCTGACTCTCTGACCCTGATGGGACATGTAAAGCTATTTAACAACAATAAAAGAGAAGTGGAAACTGCCCAACGCCATGATTCGACAGTTTCTGCACAAACGTATCAGTCTGTCACGTCTTTTTGAGGTGGATCTTAATCACTCTTTATCCAAAGAAGTGGCCTCAGTTCGCCAAAATCTGCTGGGTTTTGTTTCTGCTCTGCTCTTTAAACATGCTGCCCCAGCGTTTCAGCCAGTCTGGCTTTAATCTAAGACCGCTACCCGTTGCCACCTATCTTGTTCAGCTGTTGCGTTTGAGGATCAAAGTCCTGCTACATAACCCAATTTTGGAAAGGCTTTAGCTGCTAGAGCTGCTATAAAAAAATGCTAGACTGTGAAGCACGTCGGTAATCCTCAATGGATACAGGCTGAGTAATGTCAAAACAAAGCCGAACCACAAGTACCGTGCCTGGCAAAGGGAATAACGTGGTCATGTTTTGTGTTCAAATATGCAGGTAAACTTGAATGCCTTCCAACCGCCTGCGTGTGTTTGAAGGGCAAAAATTAGAGAGGCACCAATCCTGAGATTTCCTGGCCAATACAAACATTCAGCTTCTGATAACTGAGATTTGTAACTTATGCTAGTGGTTTTACTAAAGCATGAAAACAGAAAAGAAATGTGCTGAACGTTCTAGAAAGATATCGCCATTTGTTCCCATTGCTTCTAATAAACTAAAAACTTTATTAAAGTGCTTTAAAGAAGCAATCGCAGGTTGACACACTTATTGACTGAAATGGTGGGGAGTCGTAGTCGCGGTAGGTTCAATGAATATGAAATAAATGAGTGTTTAACAGTATTTGACTTGCTCATATCTGGTCGATTGATTTTTGCCTCTCTAGCAGAAAATGAAATAAATGGATAGAAAATAGTTCAGGTATTCTTAGACTATTTTCTCTCCATACAAATATCCCCGCAGATCATCGAGTGACTTTATGAGGCACAATTTGCAACACACTTTCACAGAAATAATGTGACATGTATGCCTTACAGCCATCAGACTGGGCATTTTAAATTGCTGCACAGCCTACCTTATTGTTTACATTATTTAGCCAGTCAGTCAGCACGGAGTCATGTGACAAACAAGTCACAAGGGCTTTTGTTTTCTCGGAAATTAAGAAAGCAAGGAGAAGTGAATGTGGATTTTTTTTTTTTTCAAAAGGAGGCCGTCCCTAGTCGAGTTTTATAGGAAAGAGGCAGATCTATCCTTTCCTCCATATCCAACCTTTATAAAAAAAAAAAAGAGACATGTGCACATGACACCGCTATAGCTGGCATCAAATGATTGCTGTTGAAAGACCAAAGAAAAATGGAAAGTGCTCACAAGGCGATGTCATGGTATGTCATGTGGCTCTGCGGAGGGATCAATAAATCACGTAGTCGACAAAAGGCTATTAAGATGCTGCAGCTTGATTTCTGCAGGAAACCGCCGTGTGGCTCAGAAACAGGTTTAGCTGGGCCTGAAAAGCAGGTGACTGGATGACTAGATGATTGTCTGACTCTCTATCTTTAAAGTGTATCAATGTGAGTAAAAACCCCGTAAAATCCCCTGCTATTAATGGATTTACAAAAGAAAGGGTACGCTGTATAAAAAAAGGCATTTTTATTTATACTGTTTAATTAAAAGCAATGATTAAATTGTCCCCCAGTCTTTATTTTGCTAATTAATAAAATGTTCTATTTGTAAATCAATTAAAAAACTAATCTACCGTACTTGATTGCCAATATGTTACGATACTTTCTTAGTCTGTGTTCTCAGAAGAAGAAGGTTTAATTTTGTCTCAAAATGGTAAACGTGAATAATTCAAAAGGCACCTAAATGCACCTGGGTACAGTAACAAAGAAAACACATTTTCTCAAGGTATTTGTAGGACTAAAGGTTAATGTTCCTCCCCTCTCTTACTCAATGGCATTTCGAAAAGCTATGCCAGTTGAAAATTGCATAATGCGTCTCTCTTTTGGACCGCTGAAATATGGGGCTGTGAATAAACAAATATCTTGGCATTGAGATCTTTATTGCCAAAATGAATAATACATTTTAAACAGTGATGGATATTTGAAGTAGACATGGACCGGTGTGACATTCTCACAGCATGATAACCTGAGTAAAACACACACAGTGTCAGTGTGTTAATACAGTAAAAAGTCAACGTCAAAGATCATTCAGCCACTCTTTTTTCCATCTCATTAAAAAAAACAACAACAACAATATAACATAAATTTGTTCCAATGTCTTCAACACACCTTGTGAAATATATAGACTTTGTTTTCAACAAAATCTGCCTTAATACCTTAAATTTAGATCCACATAACAGGACAAAAATAGGCAACAGTGTGACAACAATTTTCCAAGACAAAACCAACACATTGGAGGCATGTTTGTGCTTTCACTGCGCAACATTTTATTTGACAGCAGTAAACTTAATTAATTGTAAGTTAGCAGCTTCAAAGTTTGAGAAGCAAACTTTGAAGGTGTATTCCTCATGGAATCAGAAACTGTGACTGAAATTAAAGTAAAACTTTTTCTAAAAAACTAAGTTGTATGAAGCAGAAATTTGTTCTGTGTGGACTTTCTCTTAGCCACAAAGCCACACTTGGTCTGGTTTTTGTGGGTTTGCCCTCATCTCTTTCCTGGACAAGTTTTTATTTTCACATTGAATGTATTCTCAGGTCAGAAAACTGGTGTGTTTTCTGCTCTGCTCTGTGCTCTCTGTTCCAGGCTCAAATGGAGTGTTTTTTATTTTATTTTATTTTTATTTTTCCGGTTAAAACTGAGTTGTTCCTGGTTACTGTCGTGTCATGCTTGCTGGAGTGGAGGATGGATTGCTGCAAAGTCAATGGCGTTCTGCAGATTAACATTTACATTTACATTTTCAACTGAATTTCACTACATTGCTTTACAACTAGGATTATAAGTATGTAGCTGAATTTGAATCTGGCTATACATTATTGAATTGATTTTACCATGTGTTTGTAAACTTGATATAAATTACACTTGTAAAAAGTTTTCTTGTAAAATGCCTCAAGATTATATTAATCATCATGTTGCGCTACAAGACAATAGAATGAAACCAGAAAAGCTAAAATTAAATTGTTATTGTGAACCTTCAAGAGATGCCCAGTCTTAAAGCAGTAAAACCCCCATTGCAGTACCTTCAATATTTATTCAATAATAAACAAAAGAAGAAGAAGAAGAAGATAAAAAAACAGGACACTCAAGTGCTAAAACTTCGAACAATTTACTTTCAAGAGGAATTTAAAGGACATAAAAATCTATTTAAATACACTACAGCTTACCACAAGCAGTGGTAGTTTTAGTGTTAATGTGATTTAAACACGCATTTGTGATCCGACTAAGTGCAGAAAAAAAGTCAGACTTACAGTTTCCACGTCCCGTGAGCTAAAATCCAGCTGCTTTCCCTAACAGGGGCCCACCGTGGAGCTGCATGTGATGTTCAAAGCCCCTCCGGTGAGCTTCCTGCTGCCCTACTTCAGCGCACTCACTCGCTGACAAACACCAACTTCTCATTTATTGTCTTCTGACAGCCCTGACGGAGCACGCGGACAAATATGTGTCACAGTGACGCTTCCTTTACACACAAATCTCTGTCACTGCTGACTGTTTACACTGAGATCAGCTGATCGGCGCTCAGCGGAAGTCATCCGACCGGGCTTTTCAAAATAAAAGAGAACCCTGTAACAAAACAGAATGTAAGGTGAGAAATGTGAATATTTTTTGGTGATACAATGTAAGACCAACTCTTAGTCTATTGTGCCTCGTTTTTTTGCTTTCTTTTTAAGGTGATAGTAGAAACCGGAAGTCAGAATGCTGGCAGCCTGCTGAGCCACTTTACCCTGGAAGCAGTTCTTCCTGGACTGCTAAACTCATTCAGTGGGGATTCTTCGTGTTGTCATGTGCCTTACCATTGAATGATACGTTTTCCCTGCGGGCGAAGTTTATTAAGATGAATTGATGGCGGATATTATAAATCCGGAGAATGAAGAAGATCTGCAGGCTCAAGTAAGATTAAATCTTCCAAGACACAGTGAAGAAAACAGAGTTTTACAGGAACTGGCTGCATGGACCGTGGAAGTGATAATCATATTGATAAAAGAGGCAGAGTAGAGCGACTCAATGCAACTCTGGCTTGAAATCATGCCAGGAACATTTAAAGCCCCAAACCAGATTATCTGTAAAATCTATTAAACTCATTTACTGAAAGTTAATCACTTATACTAAAAAAATATCTGACAACTTGACGTACATATTGCTATTTTCTGTATGACAATTTAATCAACAAAATAAAAGCGTACCTTCTCAAAAAAAAAGCTTCCAGATACCCTGGTGACGTCACATAAGGTGACCGATCAGCTGTTGTATTTTGCTTGTTTTTCTTCCACTTTACTATACTTTTCATAAAATTCCTCCTACATATGGCTAAAAGTATACATGCAAGTATGTATAGTTATATGTTGTAAGTATACATGCTATTGCAAATTGAGTGTATTCAATCGGCATTCTTGTAGAAGTGATCTACTAGACTGATCACACTTCTGACCTCCAGCTGAAGCCAACCTGGGTTCTGCAGCCAATCACTCACTTTTTCCACACAGGCCCATGCAGGTTTCAGGGTTTTTTTTTCTCCCTTAATTGTATTGTGGTATTTAAATTGTTTGACGTTCTGAAACACCAAAGTGTGACAAAGATACAAAATTTAAAAAAAAAAGGAAATCAGGAAGAGGACAAACACTTTTTCACCTCACAGTATGTATCCTCCTGATAAGCTGCAGTCCTCAGTCTGGTGTGACTCCACCAGGAACAAGGTGAAGCTTTCGATTTTTTATTTTTTTTTTTTGTCAGACTGACAGTTGCACAGATGGTACACCTCTCTGTGCTCTACTGGTCTTGTGGTTGTCTGAATGTTATCCCAGCATATTCACAATCTGCTGATCTGCCGAGTCAGCTGATGAGGTGGACTGATGCAACATATGTCTGACTAGCTGTGAGCTTCCACTACTCCCTCACTAAAGGGAACTCTTGCTAGTAAAGTTTTCACAAAACCTCACAACTGATTCCCATTAGCTGGTATGTCATGGTTTTAGGGATGTGTGCACTATTGATTAACCTACCGATTATTCTGACAATGAATTGATTAATCAGATAAAATAATTGGCACATTCTGTTGATTTTTGAAAGCCTTTCTTATAGTTTTAGAAATATATTACAAGATGTAATTTATGTTTTCATCTAAAGTGCATTTTTTTTGTACAGTTTTGGCTTAATTTCTGCTCTGAGGATGTCGCTCTTTTAGCAAGTGGTTGTTTTTTGAATCTGTATCGTTGAGTTAACGAGAAATCGATTACTAAATTAGTTGACGACTAGTTCAATAATCGATTAATCATGATTAATCTGATGAAATATTTCAGCCTTAAATGTTTTTGTTTTACAAATATGAATTTAAAGTAGATAAGAACAAAATGGCTCAGTCTGAGAGTTACCTGTTTCTCTTATGATTCTGTCCAGCTCTGCATTGAGAGGAATTGGGCATCACTCCTGTTTAGCCATTTTGCTAGAAACTGTTTATTTTAGCGTCTGTTTCTTTAAGGACTTAGTCTGATTCTTGGTTTTGCCCTAATTATTAGGCATCATTTGAATGCTTTTGCTGCTGAATCATTTCTGCTCATTGCATATATATTCAAGAATAACAAACCCATAGATCTATACAGATCTATACAGCGCCGTCAGCTGTACTGTGAGAATTTTAAAGCCCTCTACTTGTTGAAATTCTGTAATCACCGTGTTTTTTTTTTCATTTTGCTCTCTAATTGGATTTTTCTCATTCAGATTGAAGAGGTCGAAGCTTTGTCTTCTATCTACGGAGACGAGTGGTGTGTGATAGACGAAGCGTCCAGGATATTCTGCATCAAAATATCCAGCGACGCCGAGAAGCAGAAACTGACGGCATGCTTGCAGGTGGAGGAGAAAACAAAATCCTGCATATGAATCTCAAGCATCTCAGCTTGTTCTAAAACTATTATTTTCGTCTCACTGTGATCAGATAATCCTTCCACCCGATTATCCAAGCGCAGCCCCGCCCATCTATCAGATCAAGTAAGTCTATTTGCCTTTTTTTTCTTCTTTGTTCGATTTAATATGGAGGAGATCTGCTGATTTGAAAGAACAACGTCCCACTCAAAAGCCCACTCCGCGTCCCACTCAATAACCTCGTGTTTGTTCTCGGCCTTTCTAGTGCCGCGTGGTTGCGAGGCTCCGAGAGGGCCAAATTGGCAAACAGCCTGGAAGACATCTACGTGTGAGTGCTTTTCTCGTAATTTCTGACTTCACAAGGAGATGCTGTGCGGCGATATTAGTCACAACAAAAGCTTTCATTATTCTTTCTCGCAGGGCGCCCGTCTCTGTGTGCGATTTCGAGCTTCCGCCCTCACATGCGACTATTTAATTTTCAACAGGGAGCATGCGGGGGAGAGCATCCTCTACCTGTGGGTGGAAAGAATCAGAGACTTCCTCGTGGAGAAATCCCACAGCTCGGGACCAGGTGAGGTGTGCGAGAAATGAGTTTCTGCCATGAGCCCGCAGGTCGGTGAGCGCTTTATAACGACCCCCAATGGCTTGACGTCCACCTGCGTGGCGGAGCTTGCTTCATGCTACTCTGAGCCATCACCACTCGGCTTCATCCGTTTGTACCAGCCAGCTGACTGTTTACTGAGTCGACAGTTGGGAAAACACGGCGCATTGTTGAAGGAAGGATGCCAAAAAATTAGAACCAAGAGTGAACAGATTCAGTATATATATATAAAAAAATTCCCCTCTCACCCTCTGTGGGTGGTCTCTTTCATCCTCT